TAGGCACCACCCAAGACATGTATTTTTGTATTTTAGGCTGTGATGCCCAGCATTCTAACATAATATATATCATATGTACATGGACAATTTTGTATCATACTGAAAACTCTTCATAAACATTTAAAATGTGGAGGCAGTCTTCTTTTCTTTGGGATTTCCTGCCATCTCCTTGCTCTCTCTTTCTTGTCCTCCCCACCCAACTCCATTTTTTCTCTCTTTCTATAAAAGAAAAGTATAATTCTGTGTAAAATAAATTTATACCAGGTTTCATCCCAGGGATGCAAGGCTGGTTTAACATATGCAAGTCCATAAATGTTATCCACCATATTAACAAAAGGAAAAACAAAGACCATGTGATCCTCTCAATAGTTGCAGAAAAAGCATTCGATAAAATCCAGCATCCTTTTCTAATTAGAACACCAAAGAGTATATGCATACGTGGCACTTTTCTTAAACCGATTGAAGCTATCTATGACAAACCCACAGCTAATATTATACTGAATGGAGTAAAACTGAAAGCTTTTCCTTTTAGAATTGGAACCAGACAAGGCTGTCCTCTGTCACCATTACTATTCAGCAGAGTGCTGGAAGTTCTAGCCAATACAATTAGGCAAGACAAGGAAATAAAGGGCATCCAAATGGGAACAGAGGAAGTCAAACTTTCCCTCTTTGCTGATGATATGATCTTATACTTAGAACACCCTAAAGACTCAACCACAAGACTCCTGGAAGTCATCAAAAAATACAGTAATGTCTCAGGATATAAAATCAATGTCCACAGGACAGTAGCCTTTGTATACAGCAATAACAGTCAAGATGAGAGGCTAACTAAGGACATAACTCCCTTCACCATAGCTTCAAAGAAAATGAAATACCTAGGAATATATCTAACAAAAGAGGTGAAGGACCTTTATAAAGAAAATTATGAAACCCTAAGAAAGGAAATAGCAGAGGATATTAACAAATGGAAGGACATACCATGCTCATGGCTGGGAAGAATCAACATTGTTAAAATGTCTATACTTCCCTACCGATTCAATGCCATCCCTATTAAAATACCAACATCGTACTTTCAAGACTTGGAAAAAGGCTTGGCACCTATGGCTCAAGTGGCTAAGGTGCCAGCCACATACACCTAAGGTGGCAGGTTTGAATCCAGCCCGGGCCCACCAAACAACAATGATGGCTGCAACCAAAAAAATAGCCAGATGTTGTGGCGGGCGCCTGTGGTCCCAGCTACTTGGGAGGCTGAGGCAGGAGACTCGCTTCAGCCCAGGAGTTGGAGGTTGCTGTGAGATGCCATGACACTCTACCTAGGGGGACAGCTTGAGGCTCTGTCTCAAAAAAAAAAGACTTGGAAAAAATGATTCTGCATTTTGTATGGAACCAGAAAAAAACCTGTATAGGTAAGGCAGTTCTTAGTAATAAAAACAAAGCCAGGGGCATCAGCATACCAGATTTTAGGCTGTACTACAAACCCATAGTGGTCAAGACAGCATGGTACTGGCACAAAAATAGAGACATAGACATTCGGAATCAAATAGAAAACCAGGAAATAAAATTAACATCTTACAACCACCTAATCTTTGATAAACCAAACAAGAACATACACTGGGGGAGAGAGTCCTTATTTAATAAATGGTGCTGGGAGAACTGGATACCCATATGTAAAAGACAAACTAGACCTACACCTTTCTCCACTCACAAAAATTGATTCGAGATGGATAAAGGACTTACACTTACAGCATGAAACAATAAAAATCCTTAAAGAAAGCATAGGAAAAACACTGGAAGACATCAACCTGGGGAAAGACTTCATGAAGAAGACTGCAGTGGCAATTGCAATAACAGCAAAAAAAAAAAAAAAAAAAAAAAAAAAGGGACTTCATTAAACTGAAAAACTTCTGTATAGCTAAGGAGACAACAACCAAAGCAAATAGACGACCTACACAATGAGAACGGATATTTGCATATTTTGAATCGGACAAAAACTTGATAACTAGGATCTATACAGAACTCAAATTAATCCAAATGAAAAAGCCAACAATCCCATATATCAATGGGCAAGAGACATGAATAGAATCTTCTCTAAAAAAGACAGACGAATGGCTAAGAAACATATGAAAAAATGCTCATCATCCCTAATTATCAGAGAAATGCAAATCAAAACCGCCCTGAGATATCATCTAACCCAAGTGAGAATGGCCTCAAAACTGCAGATGCTGGCGTGGATGTGGAGAGAAGGGAACACTTTTACACTGCTGGTAGGACTGCAAACTAATAAAACCTGTTCGGAAGGAAGTATGGAGAACCTTCATAGAACTCAAGACCTCCCATTTGATCCTGCAATCCCATTACTGGGCATCTACCCAGAAGGAAAAAAATCCTTTTATCCTAAGGACACTTATACTAGACTGTTTATTGAAGCTCAATTTACAATCACCAAAATGTGGAAACAGCCTAAATGCCCACCAACCCAGGAATGGATTAACAAGCTGTGGTATATGTATACCATGGGATACTATTCAGCCATTAAAAAAATGGAGACTTACAGCCTTTGTATTAACATGGATGGAAGTGGAACACACTATTCTCAGTAAAGCATCACAAGAATGGAGAAGCATGAATCCTATGTACTCAACTTTGCTATGAGGACAATTAATGACAATCAATGACACAGTGGGTTGGGGGAAGGGGAGAGCTGAGAGAAAGAAGGTGGGAGGGGTGGGAGAAAGGAAGAGCAGAGAGGGAAGGAGGGAGGGGTGTGGAGTCTCAGTGTGTGCCACACCTTTTGGGGGCAAGACACAATTCTAAGAGGGACTTTACCTAACAAATGCAATCAGTGTGACCTGGTTTCTTGTACCCTCAATGAATCCCCAACAATAAATTTAAAAAAAAAAAAAGAAAAGAAAAAAAATAAAATAAATTTATACTTTATATCTTAAGAAAATAAAATTAAATATCTCAAGTCCCCCGTAGTTAGACATTTAGATCCTCCCCCAATTTTACATTATTATAAATAAAGCACTGACAAATATTCTTATCCACAGAGCTCAAAGTTAAGATTATTTCGTTGAGAAACATTCAGAACTGGATTTGGGTCTAGCTCTGAGTGGGCCTGGCCGTCAGTGGTGTGAGTGTGTGTGAGACTGTGTGTTTGTATGTCGGGGCTGCATTTCTCTTTGGCCCTGCAAAAGAGGTGAACCGAGGCAGGCCTCTTCCCCAGCCCCACTTGGGAGCTGAGTCACTATTCCCACAGCCTGAGGATCTTGGTGGAGGGGAGGAGGTAGAGAACCAGTGACTTCCCACTTGGGCCTGAAACCCTTCTGAACCCTCAGGCTGACCAGGGCAAAGCCTTCGGGCCTGGTAACCACATGCTCCGCGTGCCAGAGCAGCCTTGGGACTGCTGAGATGAAGGCACTGACAGCGTTTCTGTCCTGCGTGGCCGGCCTGTCCTGCACACACAGTCCGGGGCTCCGATGTGCTTTCCGACCTGCGCATCCTTCCAGCTTGGCTGAGTTCCGTTCCAAGTCAGGCTGGGTTGGTTTTCTCCTCAGAAAGACTAGTCAGTGGGGTCAGCCAGCGGGTAAGCTAAAGTTAACTTAGCTATTATTGCTTTTTTGTTAATGAGGGGAGGACCAGCTATGGAGATGCCAAACCATTCAGAAGAGTTGTGCAGTATTTGGGATTTAATATGCCAGAAAAAAAATTCTGCGTTCAGGCAAAAGAAAGCAATTGACAATGATTTAAGTCCTGTCTGGACTCCCAAGGGTCCCTGTGCTTCACTGAGATTTCATTTTATTATTTTTTGGAAAATATTTTTCCTATGAAGTTATGAGTCTTGGAAGCTGAGAGAAGCGCCAGCGACCTCACTGGACTCATCAGAGTGGCAGGAGTTCTCTTTTGTGGATGGGAGCTCGGGCTGTAACTAAGCCTGAGCTGGGAGGGCGAGGCTTGCAGGGACTCTGTCACGACCTTCGGGTGGGCTGGGGAGTGGTGGGTGAATACCCATCCTGTGGGATTGCAGGGAAGGGACCAGGGACTGGCTTCTCTTGAATTATATAGTCAGGAACAAATCAGTTCATTCTCAGAGATAAGATTCAAAAGCAGAGGCTGAATATCTTGGGTGTTTCTGAGCCCAAGAACACTTGACTTATATCCTAAAATTCCACAGCCCGTGAGTCCATTGACAGATGCTATTCAAAGAGACCTCCTTTGACAAAGAAACGACGTGTCTATAGGGTTGAAACCATTTGAAAAACGTTGTCAAAGTCAATGTACAGAAATGTTTAAAATGCTTTGAAGAAATCAGATCTGGGCTGTTCCTGCGGCAGTCTGTGAACAGGTCGATTTGAAAGCATGGAAGCAAGATGTACCCGCAAGCTGAGAGATCTAAGAGAGAGATTCTTTTCAGTGTGACCCATATTTGCAACCTACCCACTGTGCACCAGGTGCAGTGCTTGGCTCTGGGGACAGAGATGTGGAAAACTGGATTTCTTGCCTCAGAAATAACTAGTCAGGAAAGAACTCCGGTGGCCAGTCCTAGTGCCGAGAGCAGTCAGGATGAGGAGCGGCTCTGAGTGAGGGTGCTGATAAAGCCCAGGGCAGCAGCATGTGAGTTGAGTGTGAAGAGTTAGCGCGCTATCGATGCTTACAGGTGTGGGAGAAGGGTCCAGAAGGCCAGATCGCTTGCCCGAGATGGGTGTGAGTGGTGGGCTTGGGAAGAGCGACTACTGGGGCGGGGGGAAGGTGGAGGAACAGTCCTGTGGGCCGTTGTCAGGTTGTGGAGGACCTTGATATATTCATCTTACGGACTTTGGACCCATGGAATTTTTGTGACCAGGGATGTAACTTGCAAGTTATCAATTAATTTCTGTTTACTGCAAAGCAAACACATACAGCTATCCTGATGTTCATAAAGCAAAAAATGCAAGTGCCCCCCTTCCCAGAGGTGACCACTGTCCATGCGGCTCATTTTTCTCTCCTTTGTATTATTTCAGAACACGGTTTTATTGGCTATTCGCCGGAACTGCTGCGGAACAACACTCTGCCAGATTACAGCCCTGGGGAGTCTTTTTTCACTGTTTTTGGAGTTTTCTTCCCGGCAGCTACAGGTATTGTAATTTGAATTTTTTTTCACTCTCATATTAGGTGTACCAATTGCTTGGTTCCCGAAATTCAGCATCATAATCGGCCTGCATGTGGCTCTAAGTGTGTATATCTGACTTTAGAGATGGGCTTAATTTTGACTAAAAGTCCATTCTTTTAACTGAGAGTTTACTTGGTCATAACACCTGAAGGCCCCCAACATGACTTAATCCTCCTTTCCCCTTACACTTACACACTGACACCTCTTGGCCAAGTTATTAGAGGGGGCATAGTTCTCTTAGAGCTGAATAGGATGGAAACCTTGGCAAGACGGGTTGCTGTTTTCACGCCTGGAATGAGTGCATACGTGGTCTAGAAACTCTCCTTACACCTACCCCAGTGAGAAATGCTACTGCCTCTTCTTTTCTGGGTGTGGGCCAAGCCAGGATCCCACAGGCTATGAACGAAGCTTACCCCACCCTTCCCCACTTTCCTGCTCTGCAGGGGTCATGGAGGAGCCTTCCAAAGCTGAGGTCCCCGCAGAACTCTTGTATCATGCTTAGGTCCCCAGTTCAGGAGGCAGGAAGCTGTCATGTTCACCAAATGGTCCATAGGAATTGGCATTTGCTAGGGCTGGGCTTGTCCACACAGCACATGCGCAGAAAAGTTCTTCACTCTGGCTCGAGGTAGTGTTGGTGGTCTGGAGTGTGTCTGCCATTGTCTCCTGAGTCCCTCCCCTTTCCCTCTGCCTTTTTCTTATTCATATGTGATTTTCTTTACATATGCCATTTTCTTATTCATTATCCTCTCCCCAGATAGGATAGGGGTAGGAAAAGGAGATGCTATGAGAATGTCTAATATTAAGAAGATTGTCGGTACAAATGCTGGCAGAGATGTGGAGACACTGACATTCTCAGATGCCGCCAGTGGGAGCATACAGCAGTGAGACTGCTTTGGAAAAAAGTTTGACAGTTTCTTAAAACTCAGACATTCACCCAGCAAGTCCACTCTTAGTTCTCTACTGTAGAGTTTCAAAGGCATGTGTTCATATAAAGGCTTGTACACGAAAGTTCAAAGCAGCTGAATTTGTAACAGTCCCAAACTGGTGATGGCTCCAATGTTCATCAGCAGATGATGGCTAAAGAAAAGCATGGGGTAGCCGTGCTGTAGAAAAGTATTCATGAACTATTGATACACACGAGCAAATAGATGAATCTCAAAATAGTTATGCTGAGCAAAAGTCAGGCAGAAAAAGAGTATATTTAAAAAACTTTATAGGCTTGGCGCCTCTAGCACAGTGGTTATGGTGCCAGCCACACACACTGAGGGTGGCGGTTTCGAACCCTGCCTGGGCCTGCTAAACCAAAAATGACAACTGCAACAACAAAAATAAATAGCCGGGCGTTAAGGTGGGCACCTGTAGTCAAAACTACTTGGGAGGCTGAGGCAAGAGAATCGCTTAAGTCCAAGAGTCTGAGGGAGGTTGCTGTGAGCTGTGACACAAAGGCACTCTACTATAGGCGACAGCTTGAGACAGCAAAAATTCTAGAAAATGCAAGCTAACATGACAGGAAGATTGGTGGATGCCTGGGAATAGAGGTAAGAGGTAAGAGAGGGGGGATTTCTCAGGGGCAGGAGGAAATTTGGGGGGATGAAAAATATATTTCTGTTTATGACGATGGTTTGCCAAGGTTCATTCATATGCCAAAACTTGTCAGGTTGTTACACTTTAGATTTATGCCGCTTAGTTAGGTATACCTCAGTAAAGCTGTTACAGTGGGAAAAATTAACAACTTTAATAATTGTTAATTGATTTTTCCCAGTTCCACTTTTCCCTAAAGTAGAGAGACCTTTTCTCTCCCCCTTGCCAGGCAGCTGGCTCCCTGTCGGCTTGCCTAGTCCTGCTCTACTCCACTCCCTCTCTCTGGAATCCCACGCCTGTCCTGCCAGTGACATGGTTCTTTCCAAGGTCACTGCTGACTTCCTTGTTACTAAATTCAGTGGCATTTTAGTTTCTCCCTTGATGTGACCTCTCGGCCGCAGCCCGCTTCCTCTTTCTTTCTCTTGCCTCCTTGATGCAGCATCTCCTGCCATCTCTGTCTTTGCCTTCTCGGTGTTTCCTCTTCCGCCTGCCCCCCAGGGCTGCCTCCTTCAGGCTATTCCTAGCCCCTCTTTCTCCACTGTCTTCCTTGGAATCTTATCCATCCCTACCGCTCAGGAGCCACCCACAAAGCTGATGCCTTCCAAATTTACAGCTCCGGCCCTGACTTCTCCTCCAAGCTCCCCATCACACCTTCAGTTGCCTGAGTGATGTCTTGTAGGTATCTCACACTTAGCAAGCTCAGAATAAAACCCATCTCACCAGCCCCCAACTGTTTCTCCTCCTGTGCTCCTGGTCTCAGTGAATGGCACCCCTGCCAGCCGAGTGCTCATGCCCATGACGGGCAGTTATCCACAATGGCTCCCTCTCTCTTCATGAGACCCTCCAACTCCTGTTAAGTTTTGCCTCCTAAGTGTCACTGAACTCTCTCTGCTACTCCTTGTCTCTGTCGCCTGACCCCTCTGGTCCAGGCTTCATCTTTCCCTTAGATCGCTGCAGCAGCTCCTATCTGAGCCTGGAATGAGGGCTCAGTAGCGGCAGGTAGAATCCTGGTCCAGGAATCCATATTTGGCAGACGCAGTGCAGCTCCCTCATGTTATAAAATGGAAAGAGTCGATCTCTGACTCTAAGCCTTCATCCTGCCAGGATGACCTAAAACTAATATAAATCATTCAGGATGCCTCCACCTGCCCCAGGGCCTATGGGGCTCACACAGCACCTAGGAGGAGGCTCTGGCCATTCGTCATCGCTGTACAGAGCCAGCCCTGCTCATTGTCCTGTCTGTGGGGCCCTTCAGGTTGTGCTGCCTCGAGCCACTTTGGGGACCAGAAATCTGCAGAGCTTGGGAACCCTATGCTTAGGGTCTACCTACTTCCTAGACCTTCCTTCCCGGGATCTTCTTGGATTCCCACTGGTACTGCCAGGGATCATGTGAGTGTCAGGTCCCTATTGCTTTGGAACCCATTGGGAGCCTCTCCCTGGCCACCTCCAGCTCCAGGGCCAGTCTTTTGTTCACTCCTGTCCTGGACCAGCTTCCTGGGCATGTGGCCCACACGTTCACATGGGCCCTATGCTGAGAAGAGGCCCTGCTTGTTTCAGGGCTTTGTTGTTGCTAAAATTCTTTTGAACAAGAGACTTTGTATTTTTATTTGTACGGGGCCCCATGGACACTGTGGTCATTCTGTCTTATTCCCTCACACTTCCCCATCCTGTGACTCCTTCTCTATTTTGTGATCCTCCCAGATCTCCTAACCTCCTTGGCTTTTGAGATAACGAAAACCAAAACAGTGTGCAGACCAATCCTGCTCTCTCTGCCACATATCTCCCCCAGGGCCGTCACATGTAGGTCAGCTTCCCTGGAATGCACATAAAGGTAAAGCTTCCTAGGAGTGTGACCGGGAAAGAGGAAAAAGAAAGAGAATAAAGAGAGTTCACATCTGAAAATATCTTCTGGCCCCTCTCCCATTCCGCTCTCTTGCACAGATTAAACACACATTCACGGGGCTTTCCCCCAGAGTGTCCCCTGGGGCCTTGCAGCAGGTCCCCACGGAATGAGACCCCTGGGCCGAGTGCCACCTTAGCAGTTTCATCTGAGCCAGGGGCTGTGGATGCCCTTGACTGGTAGCCTTCCACGTGGAGTTGTCCCAGGTGACCCGAGGCAGGCAGGACTTTGTCTCCGTAGCATGGCTTGCTGTGCCCCCTCTACACCGCCCCTGTGGCTTTTCACCTTTGCCTCTCTGGCTCTGAGAGAGGACATGCCTGGCCTGCGTGTGTGGGAGGGGCCCCTCTGGTTCTCCTTCCTCCAGACAGGAATTCACAGCAGGGTGAGGCCCCGAGTTCGAGCTGGATTAGCATTTGAGGGCAGCTCATCCAGTACCTCTCAACTTTTTTTTATCTTTTTAATCCATCTTCCTTTTTCACAATCATACTAAAAACTTCACAGACACTGACAACTTCGGACTGGGTTGGGGGGAGGAGATTGTCTTTGTCCTTCCTTTGAGAAAGATAGGACTACCTGAGAATATCAGTCAAGATTTCTTTTCTGTGGTTTAAATTAGGAACCACAGAAACATATTTTATAATATTTCCAATATAAAATTCCATATATTTTGTAATATTCCCAATATAAAATTCTGATATTGAGCAGACTGTGACTGCACAGGCTTCTTGACCGCACCCCTCTTAGAGGACTCGCTTTCCTGTCCCTCCCTCTCTCCCCTGGGAGAGGTTGAGAATCACTGATCTAATCTTTTATTTTACCAACTGGGAAGGAGGGGCACAGAGTTGACTAAGGTCACACAGCTAATTAGAGGCCGGAGTTGGGCCATTATCCCACTGTGGAGGCTGCCCTCCCCTGGTTCTCTCTCTGTTTACAGGGGCCAAATGTAAACCCAGTAGACAGGAGAAGTGATGGGTATTACTGGCTTTCTCCTGGCAGATGTTCGGGTAAGCTATGAAAAGCATGGATGATTGGCAGTTTCCATGGTGATAGATTTGCCAAGGATTAGCTCTGAGTGAGTCATGGCTGGGGCGCCCTCCAACACCATCCTCTTCTGGACCAAGAGAACCTCCAGGCTGTGGCAAGGGGAGTTTGGAAGAACAAACACTCTGTCCACCAGTCCCCCAATCCCTCCTTAGAGAGGTATTATCTAAGTTACTTCAGATATTTTATCCTAGGGGCAGGTGGCTTCCTGGGAAGAGCAGCTGGAGATTCCATTTCTGTGGTGGCTCTGGATTTCGGAAGCTGTCCTCCTGTGCCCTCACTTCACCCCTCCACCACACCCTGGGGTGGTGGCTGCAGGGGCAGGGTGGGAGTGGCCTTGGAGTAGTAGATTCTGCCCTCTCTTCCTTCTCCATCCAAGCTACACCACCAAACTTTCCCTGAAAAACAAACATCTCTCCCTCCAGCATTTCACACCCTGCTAC